GCTCAGTGGTTAGAGCATTGCTCACGACAAACAAATTCACGGGTTCGAGTCTTGGTGGGTCTGGCGGTTTTTTCTCTTTTCAGGCAGTTCACTTTCCCAACTGAGCCTTTGGATTATTATTATTAATATTATTAAATGTCTCGGATACTGAGCCAATACTTAAAGTACATATAATTAAAATAGAAGAATTTACATGGGAACGGTTTACATGTACGACGCAACGATCCACGACCGTAACAAGTTTTAAATGAGCAGTCAGAAAGTGCTGTAACAGGACACAAAACTGATATGTAAATTGAGCGGTCAAAATCGCTAAGCTTTTCGCCGATTTTGCAGGGTTCCATTGAGAATCGCCGAAAATCTACCAAATCTTCCAATATCTCACCAAATTTGAAGCCAATATGCCAACAATTCATATAGCCTACATTGTATTTTCAACTAGAGCTGAAACAAGTATAGCAATTCGGGCTGAAACAATTATACCCATTACTCATTACGCGATCATTAATTCCAATCAACAAATCGTTACGTTATAGGATACTCGTTAGGGACTTTGAAAACACACGTTTTTGTGATTTTGATTAACGTGCCGCTGTGAGTACGCACTACGCAGTTGCCAGGGGCATAGTCCATGTCCTGAAGGTCAATTGCCTTCAAAACTGCCATGTTTTGGAGCTACCCTTTCACCCCTGGAAATTTGTTCGTATTTGTTCGTATTGTGAAGACATAGCTTGTGTCGTACACAATAGCTTCTGCCCGGCAATCTCCCGGCAATCTCCTCGCAGCGGGCACACAATATTTAACCGAAACTCGGTCAAGGTGAGCTACTGTTGCTTACCAAACATGGCGTCTTTGATAAGCTCGCACAACCGCAAGCAGATGACAAAGCCCGTAGAACAAAAGCCGTGCAATTGCAGATCGCCGCCAAGTTGCCCGCTGCGAGGAGATTGCCGGGCAGAAGCTATTGTGTACGAGGCGGTGGTGACCACGCAGCACGATACGAGAGGCTACTTCGGATCGACTGCACCCCCGTTCAAGCTTCGCCTTGCAAACCATAAAACATCTATGCGCCTCGCCACTTACAGGAATAGCACAGAGCTATCAAAGCATGTCTGGGGGTTAAAGTCCACAAATGAAGCGTGTGAAATCAGGTGGAGGATCTGCGAGAGGTCCAGGGCTTACAGCAACTTAACCAAGAGATGCCCGCTATGTACAGCAGAGAAGACCTGGATAGCGCTGAGCAACCGAGACTATGCTCTGAACAAGAGGAGCGAGATGGTCTCAAAGTGCCGACACGCCAGCAGATACTGCCTGAAGGACTACGCAGGGGCAGCTATCACCTGAAGCCCCCATATCCACCTAGGGAAATCAGCGCTGTCTACACATCCCGTAACTATTATCCCTCATGGCGCTGATTTCCCTAGTGTGTGCTTACACGTGCACCAACTGGCTTTGCACTAGCCCAAATTGCTCTTTCCTTTGACTGGCACTAATTTTCTCTGACCCTGATCTTGGCTCCTATCATTCTCACCTCACCTCGCCAGGCCCTGTTATAAGACCCCTTGTTCTGGCTAGCCCACTATTGTTGCTTTTTGCCTGCCTGATGATTGCACCCGCTTGTGCATGAAACTCTTGAGTAGCAAAAGTGAAGTGATGTTTTCCTGGTAACCATTGTTTTCCCTTCGGGTATTATTGCTCTGCCGCAAGGTATTGAGCTCTCTCGTGCAGTGGTTGCTCCAAAGCTTCGTATATATATATATATATATATATCGAAACAGCTTGCTGTCCGCAGATTGAGTATTTCGCTCCTGCTCTTGTAGCAGTTGAGCACTCTTGCGTGGGGTAGTGCCTTTGCTGTTTGCGTTATGCAGAGCTCACTGACTTGTCAGTTTGAGCACTCTGGCAAGGTACGTTCGGGCCTGATTGGAAATTTTTATTTCCATTGCTATCAGGTTCGGCCTCATTTCCTCTGTGCTGCGCTGATGAGTTCAAAAAGAACGAAACAGCTTGCTGTCCGCAGATTGAGTATTTCGCTCCTGCTCTTGTAGCAGTTGAGCACTCTTGCGTGGGGTAGTGCCTTTGCTGTTTGCGTTATGCAGAGCTCACTGACTTGTCAGTTTGAGCACTCTGGCAAGGTACGTTCGGGCCTGATTGGAAATTTTTATTTCCATTGCTATCAGGTTCGGCCTCATTTCCTCTGTGCTGCGCTGATGAGTTCAAAAAGAACGAAACAGCTTGCTGTCCGCAGATTGAGTATATATATATATATATATACACATGTCAACAAACAATGGATCACTCGTAATATTTCGCTACTCCGAGTTTCATGCACTGTGTGCAATCATCAGGCAAACAATATTCAATGCAGACTGGTCAAAGCATAATGGGAATTTAAGGTGGATGCAGGCGGAAGCAAGTGTAAGGCTTAGCGGGACCCCTGATACGTAATCAATGGGCTAACTTGCCGGCTGAGAAGTGTGTGAAGCTGAGTGCTAGATGACTATAGCATAGTGGGGCAGTGCAATTTGCCAAGGCGCTAGCTGTTGGATGCCTGTACTACAGCAGAGCCAATTTGCAGTGGGGGGGGGCATGTCCTGGTGTGGCACTGGCTCTGCTGTAGTACAGGCATCCAGCACGCACCTGAATCTTCACACCTGAAAGACTAGTGCAACCATCGCACCCAGCTGTAACTCCTCAGACTTCACTGGCTCTGCTGTAGTACAGGCATCCAGCACCCAACACCTGAATCCTAACACCACCAAAGAGGCAAGTGCCGCCATTGCACCTGACTGTAACTCGTCGGACTTAATTGGCTCTGCTGTAGTACAGGCATCCAACAGATAGCGCCTTGGCAAATTGGCTCTGCTGTAGTACAGGCATCCAACAGCTAGCACCCCCCCCCCCACTGCAAATTGGCTCTGCTGTAGTACAGGCATCCAACAGCTAGCGCCTTGGCAAATACGGAGCCTCCATTCAAGCTTCGATACGGGAACCACAAGACATCCATCAAGCTTCCTGGATACCGCAAATCCACGGGCCTCTCAAAGCATGTGTGGGAATTAAAAGATAATGGCAAGACGCACGACATCAAGTGGCGAGTGGTCCAGAAGGCCAAGGCCTACAGCAACATAACAAAAAGATGCAGCCTGTGCCTCGAGGAGAAGGCGAGAATAATCACTGCCGACAGGAGATCGAGCCTCAACAAGCGGTCGGAGTTGATATCCAAATGTCGACATCAAAATAAATTCATGCTGTCAACACCGATAACATGATCTTCTCGGCACCCTGCCTCCAGGCAGTAGGGCCAGTTGATAGCTCTCTGCCGCCTTGTCACCATCATCATATTTGCACCGCGGAACTCACTAGCTAGGCCAGCTCAGTTTTATCACCTTTATCCTTTATCACCTTAGTACCGCGATCCTTACTGGCTATGACACTGAATCGGATATGAGTTGATAGCGCCCCTAGCGCTTTCTGTTATCCTTGTCCCGCCATACTGGGCTTTAAATAGTGGGTTATTTTTCTTGATGTTCATATCACCTGATGAGTGCCTGAGATGGCATGAAACTTTAAGTTGTGACTGATCAAGCCATCTGTTGTTCTGTTCTGCGCTGATGAGTTCAAAAAGAACGAAACAGCATGCTGTCCGCAGATTGAGTATATATATATAGATATACACTCAGACACAAAGGATCTCCAAGTGTCTCAGTGTTGCTACTCTGAGTTTCGTGCAAAAGCACTCTTCAGGCAACTTACTCTTCTCTCACATCAGTATCCCTTTACATACCAGAAAAGACGAAAAGAAGCACCCTAGGTGGGAATCACAGGTGAAGATTGATGTGGCACCTGTGATTCCCACCTAGGGTGCTTCTTTTCGTCTTTTCTGGTATGTAAAGGGATACTGATGTGAGAGAAGAGTAAGTTTCCTGAAGAGTGCTTTTGCACGAAACTCAGAGTAGCAACACTTAGAAACTTGGAGATCCTTTGTGTCTGAGTGTATAACCCCGCTGTCTTAGGACATTGAGCACTTTTTGCCGACGCAAGAAATACTTCTATTGTTCTATATATATATAGATAGCTCTTGTAGCAGTTGAGCACTCTTGCGTGGGGTAGTGCCTTTGCTGTTTGCGTTATGCAGAGCTCACTGACTTGTCAGTTTGAGCACTCTGGCAAGGTACGTTCGGGCCTGATTGGAAATTTTTATTTTCATTGCTATCAGGTTCGGCCTCATTTTCTCTGTGCTGCGCTGATGAGTTCAAAAAGAACGAAACAGCATGCTGTCCGCAGATTGAGTATATATTATATACAGTCGCCCCTCTCTAATCCGGCACCTTTTGCAACTGCATTTTCTGCTGGATAAACAAGAGTGCTGGATTATGAAATCCTGCCCTCCAGCCCAACCCAGATGTTATCATACATGTTTGTGTCGTACGTCAAAACGTAGGGATTTTCTGTGTCAAACCAAGTACTTTGTGAAATGCATGTCTATAAGTTATACACTTAGGAATATCCTATATACTGGCATGGGATATTCCCAAGTGTATGTTGCATGTGTTGTGTATGTTACAATGGTCCCTGACAGTCTGCGATGTACAACTGCTGGATTAGAAAATCGAATTATGTAGAGTTTGAGTGATTTGTTGCAGAAAATCGCTGCTGGAGGCGGAATTCAAGTGCCGGATTAAAGCGTAGAAAATGAACTGAAAAAATCCGTTTTGCCAGAAAATGTGCTGGTTTGCAAGGGTGCTGGATAAACAAGTGCCGGATTAGAGAGGGACGACTGTATATTGATCTAGCATTACTGATTACTCTCTACCCTCAGTTCTTTGTCTGAGTTATACTCATTCCAATTTGGTACAAGTATTCTGCTGTCTAGGAGCCGGGAAAGCACGTTTCCTTAGCATCCTTCAAAGCAACATCAACTTCTGGTCTGTGCCAGAACCTATTGCAGACTGGCAGAATGTGGCTTCGGAGTAGGTGAGTTGATTCATATCAACTTTGAGCAGCGTTGTCGAAAATATGGCCATAATAATAATATGTTTGCATTGTACTGAATGAAATGACAATGCAATGTACATGTAGTAAAGGTTGGCACATGATTCTGCACAACACAGCCAGCGAGAAAGTGAAAAGCGAGCATTCAAATTAGCATTATATGCTGATATATCAAGCAGCACTCAAAGCATTATTAGTAATAATAATCAAGCATTAGGCGAAGATGCCCAAATAAGTGAGCCAGCGGATAGCTGAAATAGGGCATGACGCAAAACCACTTGGGGCCGTCAGGTTAATTTTCCTGGACCGAGCCAGCCGGGAAAAAACCCTCGCGCCGACGGACGCAGTAGAGAGGGAAAAAACCGGGTGTATATCCCCAATGGCGATTAGGCATGATGTAGGCATGGCAAATGGTGAGCACACTGCTTAATGTGGAAATACACAACAGTTCTCTTAGTCTAAATCATCAGCTCCGCTTCCTGGAGTAGATCGTCGCTGTTGACTGTTTCGTCAAGGTCTGGCTTATTCAAGTCGACGTAGGTTACGTCACCAACAAATTCTCTCATCGCTTTCTCAAATGCATCGTCATCAAGCAGGTCGATGTCATCGAGCCTAGAACAGTCAAAAGAATAAGAAGTTATCTACAGCCGGTAAGACAATTCGAAGGGACATTCAGATACTGCTATGGGAATGTCTTGGATGTGATATACTCAAACTACAATGTTGTAACTGCAGTAGTAATAACTGCACCACTCATGTTTATAATTAAAATCAAAAAAATGACGGAATAAAAAAAAAGAAAAATTACGTCTAGCATGGGACTCGGGTAGACTGAAATTTTCACACCCATAGGAACTCAATCACCCTGGAGGATCAAAGTGCAGATGCAGCTTCTAATGCGGTCGGAGATGAGTAGTTCAGACCTACCATACAGTTGCCTATAAAACACGGAAAATTCAATCCGCTGCATCCATGCAAATTCGATTCGCGCCATGAATAAAAAAATGTGCAGTGTGAAAACTCGGACACATTAACGCATGGCATGTAAGGCACAGTGTGATGAGAACTAGCCCGTAACAAGCACTTACCAATCAAATTCAGACTTGGCATCGGACTTCATAGTCGAAGTATCAGCAGTGGAAGTAACTTCACTTCCTTCACTTTGGGACACCTTCGTAGTGGCTGGGCTTTCCTTCTTAGCTGAATAGTACAGATGAAGAAGCAAGCATTTATTATTAATTAATATATTTACAACGGATCAAGCCAGATTATAGCATCCCATTAGCCATAGAATGCTGGAACATACATATCATACACGCAAGATCACCTACTACCAACCCCTACGTCAGGAACAGCGTTAACTATTTGCAAAGCTCTTAAACTGTATTATAGCACACTACAGCCGTGTTGAAGCAAATGGTCTTTCCACACAAGAAGGAAGCAAAACTAACTATCCACATGTAACGAGAGGTTTAGCAGATATCCCAAAGACCATACAGTAAATGCCAAGCCAGGCCACACAGATAAACAACAAGAGAAAGGTATCGCTTAAGAAAAGGCACAGGAAAGGACAACAGATCGAAAGTAATGTCTTCAAAAACATTTATAATACCAGCATCAGCAATGCAACTTACCGGAAGAATGACTGCTGAGTCTTGTTATCTTAGCAGGTGGTGTCGCTGGAGTGGAACTCTTGGTAGGTGCAGTACTCAATACTGGACTACATACATTCTTGCTTGCTGAACTGGAAACTACTGATGGTGATTCCTTGATGGTTGAATCGGCCGGTCTTCTTTGACAGGTGTCTTCTGCAGATACAGTGCTGTCACTAATGGTCTCGTGATGCTTGCGTTTCTCAGCAAGGATTTCATCTAAAGACTTGATGCGAAGACCAGCAGCGGTGGACGGTTGTGGGGACGCTGGAACAGCAACAGGCTATGAAGCCGTCAGAAGAATGGAGACAGAAAGAGAGAGAGAGAAAGAGATAGAGAGAGAGAGAAAAAGAGTAACGTAAAACATCTGAGAGGCCTTGCATCGGCTGATGATTTAAGACAGTGCAACATGTAAACCAGCTGCAGGACATTACACATATTACGATGCACTTTAAAGCAGTGAATAGAGTTGTTAGTTATTTTGACACATAACTGGCGCAAAGAGCGGATGGCACCTTCGCGGAACAGCTCGACAACAAAAAAATGAAGACAGCAAGCCAAAAGAAGCAAGCATATTGGTGATGCATGCGCTGACAGTTACAGACAGCCAGACAGACACAGACAGACACACACCACACACAGTTACACTCTGTCACACACACATACACGCACACACACACACACACATACACACACACACACACACATACACACACACACACATACACACACATACATACATACACACCTACACACATACACACACATACACACACACACACACATACACACACACACGCACACACACGAACGCACACACAACTCATTCATTGATATACCAATGGATGTACATGGATACAGTACCTCAGGCCTGCGTCGTTTGGCTAACGGCTTTGTTTGGACTTCTTGCTGAACAGATGCTTTCCTTTTCGTGGGTAACAAAGGACCTGGACCACGCCTTGCAGTTTCAGATCTATGCTGTTGATTTAGCTGATCGCGAGCATGAACCCAATGGTATCGGCTCCTTGCTCGAGTTGCTCTTCTCATATCCATTCTGGAGTCAGCGGCAGTTGAGTCGGTGGCAACCCCTTGTGTTCGGGCGTGTCGCAGTCTTTCTTTAGAATTGCCAATAGTCCGGATGGTAGCGCTGCGCTGTGCACTGCTGTCATCCGGTATGGTCATCAGCAACTTGAAATCAGGTTGAAGCACCTACGCTGGTCCACCTGAAGATTAGATAGGACAGTAAGGGTTAGCATCAATGATGACTTTGATGGATTGTCTTGATGCTTGGCAAGCAGTGTGGATACGCCACATCCAGCAACATTGCGCTCACCACGAGCAAGAGTACGCAAGTAACCGGTGAAACGCAACTCCCGCAGCCTTTTCCGTACCAAGGACGTGTAACATGTTTGTTTGATTATCCAAATTTTTCAGGTGGAATGGGCCTTCTTGCTTCATACAACTAAAAGCAGTGTAGCAGCCATTTTGCCGTGCAGATTTTAAAAAAAGTACCTCGTACACACGCTATTATTGTGCACGAGGGCTAAGTACAGTCTTACAGCAAACAGCAAATTCTTACCTTTGACTGGATCTCCTTGGGGTGCAGTCCTAGTGGGTTGTACTTGGCCAGTTTGCAGAGGCGCATCAGGACGGGGCTTCAAATGCTTGAATGGGCAGAACGGCTTGGTACACCCCACTCGCTGAGACTCCCAGTAGCATGGCATGCTGCCACGGTATTTCTGCAACACAGTCACCAAGACCACATCGAAAACAAAGAAACTCAGCATGCATCACCACGCACTAGACTTTCCCCAAATCAGCTCGTTTTTGCCGCCTGGTCAGCTTTTCCCTAGGCTCCAAATACATCAGATTTGGCTTAAAAATCTGCTGATTGTTTGAATATTCGAACGTCGTGTGAAACAACTTGTTTTGTAGTCAACTAGTCCATCACAACGTCATGCAGGAGGTTGACGGTAGGAGTTTGGCTTTCGGCTTGTACAATTCGTTTCCGCAAAGCTTCCCCTTTCTTTACTTATCTTCGATATTTATGACCCACCCAAGTTGGGTGGTGTGCTGCTTTGCTGCTTCGAACTGTAGTTAGACCACTTTGTCAAATATCGTACTGGTCTCGTCATCGTCCAGTAACAATCGACATTCTTTGTTCCGTTGGGACTGTGGCTTTTGCTCGTATTCGTTCCGCTTGCCTTCCCCTTTTTTGGTCTTTTCATAACCTTGAACCTTCCAAGTTGGAAGGCGCTCGGTTAGCGCTACGGAGATGTGTTGAAGCTAGGTGTCAGGACGTCGAATGTTTCGGTACTCTTGTCAGTTTTGTGCCTAGCTATTGCACTTTCTGACTGTATTAAAGTATCCAGTTACAGAGATGGAGAGTTACTCTTAACTCGTATCCATAATGTCCTTTTCCTTTCTACATTTATTTATGGCTCAACATCCGAGTTTCAAATAATAATAATAATATTTGAAAGGATCAGTTGGGAAAGTTAACTGCCTGAAAAGAGAAACAATTCGCGAGACCCACCAGGACTCCAACCCGGGACCTTGTTTGTCATGAGCCATGCTCTAACCACTGAGCTATGGGACCGGCCTGAACCTAGAAGGCGCTGGCAATTTTTTCACTCCAAAGGCAGCTCACACCACGTGCCACACATACTGATCGCACTTGGATCTTTCTCCCTCCCCATGGCCCAGGGGACCAACCACGGTCAGTTTCTGGACCCTACCAGAAAAAAAGGCAAGAGAGTGTGCAGGCAAAGCAACCACACATGCTGGCTTTACTTACATGTATTCCCATGTGGCGACGTGCACAATTCGGAACAATACAGCTTCCTTTGGCCCAATCTTGACAGACGTCTTCCTTGCCAAGTGCAGGGGCACTGTGTCGGAATGGACAAGCGCGTCCCTTCTTGCAGCTCGAGTAGTAGAAGAAGTAGCAATCATTACCGACTTGAGCCATCTGTTAATCAAACATTATTTGTTGAGAAGAAACACAACAGATTCAACGCCAACATTATAAAACATGTGGCGCAAGATGGAACTGTCGATGTAAGTTTTGTAGCCTCATGACTCCGGTATGGGCCAAGATATTCCTTTCCATTTTTCATGTATGATGTGCAGAGGTACCTGTATCCAGTCGTGTTATTTGTTCGTTATATTTCCAATTTCATGGCTCACCACGACCATACAAAATTCAATAAGCGTCGCCCTCCATTTTGAAAATATGGCGATGCGCCCGAAACCGGAGTTTGTGCAGTCATAGCGGCTACGCACCCTAGTTCATGCTGATCGATGTACACGATGTACAGTCGAGTCCTAAATTACTGGTATTGTACGGCTCCCTGGTCAAGTCTGCACAGCGAAAGGCTAGAGCCAAAGCAAATATTATTGTTTGATGCCGGCAAAGACACGCGGAGAAGACGTCCTTTCTCCAAGCCACCTTGGTCATTTTCTCAACCCGCTGGTGCATGTCGACCAAGATATGTCCTTGAGGTACTGGTGAACTGGGGTCCTGGCATCAACAAGAATTCGCCGTGCCTAGCTAACCAATGTTGTCAGTAGAATTCAGCGTTTCCTGATCATGGCTCGACACACTCTTTTCTGTTTGGCCTCGCAGCTTTCACCCTGCGAGTGTGCAGTTTCCTGGCCACAACTGAATTCCTTAGTCATGACCATGATGACAAGTGACTGGTATGATCTCTGATGGACCTAAGTCATTAGCTTGAGTCAACACGAAGGTAAACTCTTCACTTGGAACGCTAGCTACTTCCTCAGTCCTTTCTTGTTGCACTAGCAGATATGCGTACGAGAGGACCCAAACAGACACTACTAGATATTGGGATAAGGGATAGGTGGTCTCCGGTCCGTGATGGACAATGAGAGCTCTGATACAGAGGGGCAAAGAGAGAGAAAGAGAGTGAAAGAGAGAGAGAGACTTGTGTTTCGTCAGGTTTTGACATGTTCCTTTCTTCTCAGTATTCTCGATCGCATAGTACTCCACTTGATTTGATTGATTTTATTTGGATTCGCGAGACCAAACGAGCAGGAGTGCTCAATAACAGGGTAGCGAATGGTTGAGTTGTGCTATGTGACAATGTAGTGTGTGCGTGGGGTGGTGGTGGTGGTGGTGGGGGGGGGGAAGCTGCGGAGGCCCAATACAATGTAAAGGAATGGGAGGAGAGAAGGCCAGCGGAGAGTCAAATTCAGAAGAGGGAGGAGAGAATAGCTGAAGTGCACGGTTACTGTGCGAATTCACCACTTCTATGATAATCTTGCCTATGCTGTTGCTCATTAGGATTTTGGAAAATTCTATCCTTCGCTTTCATGTAACTGGGCAAGGAACCCGTTTGAACTTGCGAAGTTAAAAAAATCGATCAATCAATCAGTACCATGGCCTTTTCAGATTTTCATTGTACAGTACCTACATGTATTTGTAGTACCTCCCGGGATCAGTATTTCCACTTGAAATAATATTCACCAACATGCCTCATTCTTAGCATTCTTTTACTCGCTTCCATGTAATTGGGCTTATTGCCTGTTTGGTTTTGCGAATTCAAATAAAAACCCACAACAAGACAGAGAGAGAGAGACAGAGACATAGAGACATAAGCAGAAACACAGAGAGTGACAGGCAGACCGAGAGCCAGACAAAGAGAGGGAGATACAAAAGGAGAGAGAGAGAGAGAGAGGAAAAGAAAGAAAGAGATAGTGAGAGAGAGAGTTAGAAAGAGATAGAGAGAGAAAGAAAGAGAAAGAGTCGGAGAGAAAGACGGAGAGGGAAATAGAGAGAGAGAGAGATTCGGTAGGAAGGGGGAGAGAGAGTATCGAAAAAGAGGAGAGAGAGAAAGAGGGAGAGAGAGAGTGTGACAGAGAGAGAGAGATGGAGAGAGAGAGAGAGAGAGAAGCAGAGAGAGAGAAAGACAGAGAGAGAGAGAGAGAGGGGGGAAAGAGAGAGAGAGAGAGAGAGAGAGAGAGAGAGAGGCTTAGAGAGAGAGAAACTCATAGGGAGAATAATAGTGAGAGATGAACTGTATAATAAAGAGTGAAAGGCTAAGGGGAACAGAGAGAAGGACAAAGCGGAAGGCAGAGAGAGAGAAAGAGGCAAAGTGGTACAGATAGAGATATAGGGCAAACAGCTTGACAGAAGGAAGACAGACAAACAGATACTTACAGTAAATTTCACAACTCGCGGCCGACTTCAGACCGAGAATCGAATAATCCCAAGTCTCCTGCAAGGACGATACTTAGCAAGGTGCTAGAGGGATCTACACAGAGAGAACCTGATTCTGATATCTGTTGGAAGACGGCAACTTACTCAGGCACGCAAATAATCAATCTCTGGTGGGAAGCAAGGTGTTTGAGGGAAGACACTAGAAAACCAACCGGTCACAGACACTGATCCTGGAGAACTAGTTGGAGACTGTAGCAAACCTAGGGTTTATATACATGTACCTACGCTACGTGACGTCACATTGCGGCTGGTGGTTGGCAGCACAGTCGTCGGCGTGTGGTATAAGTATCCGTGACGTCACATTGCGGCTGGTGGTTGGCAGCACAGTCTCGCGTCGGCGTGTGGTATAACTATAACTAAGGGTGCTCCGCTATGACACTAGACTTGGGCTTCAATATGAAGGACCCCACGATAGGTGGTCTGCCTTGGGGTCATCCTAGTTACGTGTAGACGAGGTCGTAGGCGTATACTACTAAAAAGGAGGAACATGTAAGTATTAGGTCTGCACTCAGATGTACAGCCAAGGATAATTTAAAAATAAATAAAAAGGACCAAGGAACTACAAGTGCCTCAGTTGACTGGATGTGTGTATTGGCGTGGGTACTTGCGACCTAAAACTTACCTTCGTTAATTTTATTATTGTTATTATTATTATAACCCCTTGAGCGCGAATTACGTCTACTTGTACAAGTACTTGTAGATCATTCGTTGTAATGCGTGGTGCTCTGTGCCGTGTAAAAGATAGCCCTATTCGAATAATTATTGAGCACTCTGATAATTTACAGAGCCGGTGCACTCTATTATTAATAATGTGGAAAGCCAACGTGACTTTTTGGCTTGCGCGGCTAGAGGAAGCTCTACAGGTAATCAGCGTTCATAGTTGTGTGGAAAAGCGTCGATTACATGTACATGTAGATGGGGGCGTCGCACGTGCTCCAAAATGCCAGCTTGAACAATGAGCAGTCAGCATTTCGTCGCATTTTTGCTCGAAGTAGGGGGTGTTTGAAGGCGTTATAGCAGCACTTCAGTTAGGTTCTACGAGGCTGGGACTTGGCCCAGGCACAGATTACAGGTGTTCCAAAAGATTTACCGAAACAAATTTTCATTACTCACACGGGTATGCCAGAGCATATGCGTAAACTTCGACATGTAGCTAAGCCATGCACCAATACAAGCTACAGTACTGGCAAATGAAATCCGACCGCCTAGCGTCTCGTACGAATCGCTAACGCGGCTAGCGTACCGATAGGGGGGTCGTATATCAGTTGCCAGCACCGTACAACTACAACTTACAAGCAATACAAGAGGTTATGGACTTTTGCATACACGTATTTGTAGCATGTACTCATGAGTCATGGAGTCATGGTACTGCTGTAGTATACTAGTATAGGGCTTCGTAGACTGTCCCCCACGTGACGTGTAAGCAGTTACCTGTAGGATTTCGTAGACTAGTAGCATCGTGTAGGGCTTCCTCTAGCCGCGCATGCCAAAAAATCACGTTGGCTTTCCACACCAATTAATTATTTGAGTCCACGGGCACTGTAGATAATATTATCAGAGTGCTCGATCATGATTCGAATAGAGCTACCCTATACACGGCACAGAGCACCACGCATTTAATACAACGAATGATGCGTGGTGCGCTTTGCGCGTCATAACATTAATTTTTGTTTCGGGCCAAAAAAATGCTGAAGTGCCAATAATTATTTAATTACTGAGAACTTATGCAGGCCAGGATCGACAAAAGCGTCGAGCGAGCGAGGGCGAGCGCAGCGAGCGCACCGATACACTGACAGCTTGGCCTCGCGGCTTTTCATGCAGAGCCTGACCGGTGCCGGCCTGGCCTTGTCCTGTGACCATGGTAGCAGTGCAAGGCTGTAGTGTAGGCTGTAGTGTAGGCTGTGGTGTAGGCTGTAGTGTAGGCTGTAGTGTAGGCTGTACGGCTTTGCTTGCGAAACCAATGCGCTCTGCAGAGAGTGTTTGGTCAGCACTAATCGCGAGGAGCTGCTCACAGTCATCTGGATGACAGTGCTATGGTGTCGTCATTGTCTGCTCCAGTCCACGTAGTGCATTACCATGATTACTAATCGGTAGGAGCTGCTCACATCTGGATGACAGTTCTATGCTGTCGTCATTGTCTGCTCCAGTCCACGTAGTGCATTACTGTGCACCGAACTGCAATTTGCTGAGCTGCTGACTACTGTATGTGGGACTTCGTTTATTCAGGTGCCTTGAAACTTATTCACTTTGTCCTATTATTATTTTCTTTTCTATCATTTCCCCATTATGAGTTCCTAGCAGTGGAACCTCTCGTGCACTAGGCATAGACTTCACCACTTGGCTAAGAGACCTGAAGACTGATTGTGCGAGCCATTAGTTTGAATACACACACACACATTAGCAATCCGTGCACATGCTACGAGATTGAGTCTAATAATAATAATAATAATACAGTATTTAAACAATCGACGAGGAGACAATAGTCGTAAAATGGCAATAAATAAGATAAATTGTGCACTCATAACAACAGCAAAAATGAAAAAAGTCAAGTTCCATCACGTTTTCTTGTGACTGTCATCAGTGGAACGCCGTCACATAAAAATGTAATAACTAAAACACACACTTATATACATTTGAAACTCGGATGTTGAGCCATAAATAAATGTAGAAGAGAAAAGGACATATCGATACGAGTTAAGAGTAACTCTCCATCACTGTAACATGATACTATATACAGTCAGAAAGTGCAATACTAGGCACAAAACTGACAGAGTACTGAAACATTCAACGTCCTGACACCTAGCTTCAACACATCTCCGTAGCGCTAACCGACAGCCTTCCAACTTGGAAGGTTCAAGGTTATGGAAAGACCAAAGAGGGGAAGGCAAGCGCAACGAAAATGAGCAAAAGCTACAGTCCCAAAGGAACAAAGAATGTCGATTGTTACTGGACGATGACGAGACCAGTACGATATTTGACAAAGCGGTCTAACTACAATTCGAAGCAGCAAAGCAGCACACCACCCAACTTGGGTGGGTCATAAATATCAAAGATAAATAAAGAAAGGGAAGCTTTGCGAAAACGAATTGTACAAGCCGAACAAGCTGTCAGTTTTGTGCCTAGTATTGCACTTTCTGACTGTATATAGTATCATGTTACAGTGATGGAGAGTTACTCTTAACTCGTATCGATATGTCCTTTTCTCTTCTACACTTATATACATGTAGCTAATATGGTTTCAGGTAGAAATACAGCAGCTAACAAGTACAAAAAGCGAAGTTTGCACCTTTGCAATGTGTGAATATAGTGTATGTGAGAAAGGTAGTGGCAGATGAATGTGATACTGTGTGAATGAATGTAATGGTGCGTGTGTATTACTTGAAGAGTGTGAGTGATACAACGTTTTCTTTCTGTTTACATAGCACAGGGTCACGAGTACGAATAACTTCGCTTTTTGTACTTGTTAGCTGCTGTATTTCTACCTGAAACCATATTAGCTACATGTATATAAGTGTGTGTTTTAGTTATTACATTTTTATGTGACGGCGTTCCACTGATGACAGTCACAAGAAAACGTTATGGAACTTGACTTTTTTCATTTTTGCTGTTGTTATGAGTGCACAATTTATCTTATTTATTGCCAATAATACAGTAATAATAATAATTATAAGCACATCCGTGAGGCACTACTGGGTGGGTCTTATGACGTACTAGTACAAGTCATCCGCGCTCAAGTCAAGGGGTTAAAAATAATAGTAACAACAATAATACTAACTGGTTTGAGGGAAAGAGACAAACGGGAAAAGTCTGAAGAAAAAATTGACTGCCACCACCAGGACTCGAACCAGGGACCCTCGCTTGTAGCCAGCGATGCTCTAACAACTGAGCTATGGTGTAATAATAAAAATTCTAAGCACTCGCAGACTCCATTGCAGCCACTCACACATTACAGGGTACCTCACTTCAGACTCTCCAACTACGGTCTCTTCGCTGCATAAGTTCACTTCACTTCCAAAATAAATAAATAATACTAGATATAAATGGAATGCACCAAATTTTCGGGCATGGCCCATCTTGACGGTGAAAAACCATTACACTTAAAAGCCAACAAAAACTGAACCGAGTATATATGCTGTGTGGTGCGGTAGTGCTGGAAATGTTTGTATGTGTGGAGGGTAGCAGCAATGGTGAAGTGTGTTGGTAGAAAGGGAAGGAGCGAAGGAAACCAGTGAAGAGCTGTGTCTGTAAGTGTGAATATGTGTTAGTGCGGCGTGAAGGGAAAGCACGAGAAGTGTGGTTACCAGCAGCAATGGTGAAGTGTGTTGTTGTGTGTCTTGAGCAGCAGACACCCAGACATACGCTTCACAGTGGAACACACCCAGGAGAATGCCTCGCACACATTCAGCTACCTCGACTTGTCTATCTCTGTGGCGAGTGGTGTTGTGCAATGGGAGTTGTTCGGGTGGTAGCTAACCACGGCGAACTGAATAATAAGGAGAGAAACAAAGAGAGAACTCATGCAGCGAAAAAATCGTAGTTGGAGAGTCTGAAGTGAGGTACCCTGTTATGAATAATAAAAATAACGTTTGAGGTAGGTTTGAGGTCGCAAGTACCCACGCAAACACACACATCCAGTCAAATGAGGCACTTGTAGTTCCTTCGTCCTTTTTACTTTTTTATAGATTATCGTTGTCTGTACATCTGAGTGCAGACCTAATACTTACATGTCCTTCGATTTTAAAGTGATACGCCGGTGACCTCTTCTACACGTAACAACTAGGATGACCCAAAGGCAGACCGCCTATCGTGGGGTCCTTCACATTGAACCCCAAGTTAAGTCCTTCACATTGAACCCCAAGTTAAGTCCTTCACATTGAAGACCAAGTTAAGTCTAGTGTCATCGCGGAGTCCCCTATACCACACGCTGACGAATCAGCAGCCAATCACCAGCCGTAATGTGACGTCACGTAGCGTAGGTACATGTATAAAACCCTAGGTTCGCTACAGTCTCCAATCAGTTCTGCAGGATCAGTGTCTGTCACCGGTTGTTTTCTAGCGTCATCCTTCAAACACCTTGCTTCCCACCAGAGATTGATTATTTGCGTGAGTGAGTGAGTCGCCGTCTCCCAACAGATATCAGAATCAGGTTCTCTCTGTGTAGATCCTTC